TTTAGCGGCAGCATGCAACTAAGCCGTGCCGTTCACCCGGAACGGACTTACCGATGGGCGGCAAGGCCAGGGTCGCCGGGTCAGGGCGGTTTTTGATGATCAAGGCCCAGAAGGTGCGGTAGCGCTGCTCGGCCCGCAGGAGGAACCGGTTGGTGACGTTGGAACTGGCCTCGAATCCAACCTCGGAGAACCAGCGCAGCAGCGACATGTGGTACACGATGTCGAGAAACTCGACCGGTTTGGCGGTGAGTCCGCTCTGCAGTGAATCCATGGCGCAGGCGGCACGACACTTGCATACGATGTCAGGAGGCAGAGTAACGGTGCGACGCAGCGGGAGGTGGGGGGGGTGTCGACGGCGTGTCGGGCCTGCGGAAACAGGAGCCAGGGGCGAGAGGTGCAAAGGTAAGGCAACAGAGAAACGACGGTGGAGAATCTGGTAACTGGAGAAAGAAACAGAGAGGCGGACAACAGTTGGACTAGTACATCTATCTGCCCGCATCGCGCTCCTTCCACCGCATCCTGGACCCAACGATGGCAGGAATCCGTCGTCCGGCCTTCTCTCCCCCCTCCCTCTCCAAACAACGTGCGGGGGTGGGCACAGTCTGCATTTGTATTTTTTTCATGCATGTGCACTACGCCGTGTGACTATATGCGGCTGAGGCACAGTGGGGGCATAAGGACAATCCGTCAGGCGATTCACTAGCCACGGTTGCCTGCTACAGGGTGGGAAGGCAGCCTCCGCCTATCCGAACCGCGATTCCTTTCCCGACATATATGCTTTATTGAAGCGCCCCAACGCACGGTTGGGACCTAGTAGACATGTGTGTCTGGGCAGGCCGCAATTGCCGCAATACGGCCACATGCACCTCCATGGGGAAGGACACCGGGATCCCCACCACAGCCGCGTGTGGGACGGGCCGGCGATGGCGTGGCTGACCGCAGCAACGTGTTGGGCACCATGGGCATTCGCAGGCCAGCCAGGGCGAGGACCTGTGTAGGCCATACCAGGTCGGAGCGGAGAATTCCTTCCCCATGGACACGAGGCTGGCGCGGCCATTGTGCGCATGGCAAGGCCTGCAATCTGCCAGACGTCGCGGGGACTGTATCGCCGTTCCCAACCAACACTCGCCCGGGCTTCCGCTCTACTGTCCGGGGTCCCTGCTCGAGGCTGGAGGGGGGAACTCATCAGCCACTAGGCCCACAGTCTACTCTCGCCACGGCGGCGGTGGCCACGGACCGTGGGACGGTACAAGAGAGCCGGCCCGAAGCCCCAATTGGCCTGGCTTTTCGCGGCAGTCGCCGGCACATTCAGGGCCGCCGGGTGCCACAGCCGGAGTCCCCCTTCTGGTTGCCTTCGATTGGGGAATGTACTGTACAGGGCTGCACCGCCCAACGGGACGCCGACCGCTTTGGATGCAGCGGCCCATGCCCATGCGTACCGGACTTGGCGGCGCCGGGCCTCGGCCAGAAATGACTGGCCAACCTGCGTGGCACTGGATGCAGCTGGATCCGCCGGTGGTTAAGGGGGGGGGTGGTGGGACCTGTACCTTCGGTATCATATTCCCTGCTGCACCCAGTACATCACGCGGCGATTTCTTGATCCGTCAACACACGCACAGTGTGTCTCGCAGTCCACCGCCTTGTTTAGGACTCGTCCGGATCGACTAACCCTCCAGTGTGGGACAGGAATCACCTTGATTGGCCATGCTCCCACGTTTCCCAGCCTCCGCCTCGTTGCACGACCAAATCTTGGAATTACCCCTCACTCTATATTCTCGATGGAGGAGGGGGAGACCGTTTAGCCACGCAACACTCCTGTCCTGCGAAGATGTGTCAGGGCGCCTGGCTGCTACGGTGCTTCTCAGCAGCATCTTTTTTCTTCTTTTTATGCAAATCTAAGGCCACTCGTTATATTGACGCCATGAAACACACCAGGAGGTATAGAGACCGGCAGACTGATCGCGGCGCTGAATAGCTGGGTGCAAAACTGGAAACTGGGAAAGTCTCCCTCCATACAGCAGCATCCAACACACTAGTGCGATGTGTGCCTCGATGGATACTCCGTCGTCAGCGGGGCAACTGTATACCACTCCGCTCGTCCATCCGGGTTTAGCACACCGGTTGGCTGTAGCCGCTACTCCCTGATCGTTACCCGCCATTAATGTTATCCGGCACGCATGTCAGAAAATTCAGGCGAAACCCTTGCGCCAGTCCGCTCGGTAACTCAATGCAAGCGATGGCTACCCCGGCCCCCCACGGGCTCAGACCGGGTGGGCCGCTGCATACTCTGTCGACAGAGGCCGATGTATCTTCCAGATGAAGCGCCTCTCCTCCAAGGTGTTGCCCTCCCCATCCTCTCGGCATTTGCTGTGGTGAACCGAAAGCCCTGCTATCCTATACGCCGCCATGAGGTAGTTCTTTCACACATTAGTCCTGTTCGACGTAAAGTGCTGCTCCTCCACTACGTGGTTCTGTCACCTCTACTATAGTATCACGTGATAATACTTAGACCTGCACCACACGCCCGTTATCACCAGACTCCCCTCCGCCTGTTGTCCACTCCTGCCCGTGCTGCCCGGGTTTATGAAGCGTTCGGTAGGCGGAGGATACAACCCTATACAGCTCGGGCCGATCACCGTTTTAGCCGTGGTTAACCAGCGTAACGAGTCGATGCTGTCTGAGGGCCCCCGCATCCCCCCTTTTCCAGCCTAAATCTACACACTCCACCCCCCTCGAGCTTCGACCCCTTCCGTCATATTCTTTTGTTGGCGATCTTACCCTACCTCCTGGTTACGCATCCGACCTCCCGTCGCATCTCTACGAAAGCTCTACCCTCACACTATCCTTGCATCCCATCACACTTAGCCTACCCCCGTGCTTTACCACATTGATCATCGCCATGTCCGACTGGGGTAAGTCGCGCTCCCTTACAAGTCATCGCCAGATCTCTGCGCCATTCTCTCCGACCCTTCCGATACGGGAGACCATGGTCTATAGCCAAGTATCGCCTTCGGGGTTGACTAGTACGGCCTGAACCTGCTCTTTTGAACCTTCGGGCTAATACTCAATATCCTCGCGTCACCCACACTCTACCCTATTTCGCCCTCAACTCGGTTAACCCTACAGAGAAGGAAGAATTTGACGAGATTGCCCCCATCGTGGCCCCCAAGAAAAGCCAGTGGGAGGATGAGGACCTAGACGAGACTAACATCAAGGTACAGCCACACTTAACTTTACTGAGTCCCTCTCACCGGCTCCCTCGTGCGGACGAGTCCCGTCCGAGCCTCGGACTGCACCTTCCAACGGCCGCTTTGCTATTCCATCATGTTCGCTTACTGACCCGCCTCCTAACTGTCTACCCGCTAATCAATCCTATGCCACCCTCTTCCTCCCACCTTCATCCAGGAGTCTTGGGACGACTCGGACGACAGCGAAGATGAGGCTCCCAAGGAGGCTGCCAGCAGTGGGGCTCCGGCCGCCCCCACGCGGAAGCGCAAGTCCGTAGCCCAGAAAATTGCCGAGAAGATCGCCCAGCGCGAAAAGGAGGAACAAGAGCGGGCCGAGCGCCGGGCGAAGGGGCTTCCGGAGGTAGAGGAAGAGGCCGAAGACGATATCGTGGCCCGCCGCCAGGAGGCCCGGAACCGGGAGCTTACCAACGACACCGAGAACGCTTCTGACCTGTTCGCCGGTATGACCATCAAGGACCAGCAGTTCCGCGACGATCTGGCCTCCATCAATCCGCGCACCATGGAAGACTTTGACAAGTTCCGTAAACTGCTAGTCGAGCGTGTCACTTCATACAAGGTAAGTCACCTCCGAGGGTGGTTCCTTGAATGCCTACAGGAGAGACCGATATATCTATATATATATATATATAGTTGTGGTTTACAATTATGATGCTGGGATGCCGGCTTTCGAGCCTTGTACTCGGAAGCTACACCTTCTGGTTTTTTGTGGCCCTAACGAATACACCACCTCTCCCCACCGTTGTCGCAACTTTAGAACCAACGCTACTACTCGACGTTCGTTGAGGCCTTCGTGCGCGAGCTGTGTGTGCCCATGAACGACATGGACGTACGCAAAGTGTCCAGCACCCTGTCCAGCATGGCCAATGATAAGCAGAAGGCGGCCCGTGACGCAGCCAAGGGCAAGAAAAAGACCAAGAAGTCCGCTGCCCAGGTGCAGACCGCCCCGGTCAAATCGGGTCTCTTCGATAAGACCGACTACGCTAACGAGAACTACGACGACTTTGACGATTTCATGTAAAGTGCATGTCGCGTTACCTCTCTCTTCGCAGTACCGCATGGAGTGTAGGTTGTAGTGCACGCCTCGACTTTACTCTATCAGTCTAAACGTGTGTGTCGTTTATTTCTTCTACATCATTTCATTGTTTACCTTGCTATTTATACGTGGCGGCAAATAAAACAGGCCACTCATATATGTAAAGCGTTGGGAACTATTCTACCGGGGTATTCCACAAGTCACAACTGTGCGCCATATGTCTGGAAATCAATGGTGGTTAACGATAGGATAAATCAGGAATTGGTATAGTCGGGGGACTGATTTAAAACGGGAAAGCGCTAAACGTGGTCGCGGCTCCAATAAAGCATGGGAGATGGGGCATCAGCGCAACCCCCTCCCCGTTGTCTATACTGCCGACCAGTAACCATATGCCAAGGAAAACGATTTCATAGGGACACTAATGGATTATGGCTAGCAAGTATGGTCGGAGAAGCGGTCCGGTAGGATTGCCAATCGTCGCGATTGGCAAGTGTAAATGTGGAAGGGATACCTGAGGACAAAGCCTGTAAACTTAAACAATCCTCGTCTATTGGTGGAGAATACTTGATCCAACCTGCTCAAAATCGACATAAACCACAAACCTAAACGATAACCTGGAGGCGTAACGAAATAATAAATGACAGGAGGTTTACATCCATTCAAGAACAAGGGTTTTAATCTAATTATTAGGTTAATATATTCACAAAAAAATATCAGCAGCCGCCGTGGCCTAACTGGATAAGGCATCAGACTTCTAATCTGAGGATTGCGGGTTCGATCCCCGCCGGTGGTACAAAGTTCTACTTTTTATGCAGTGTCAATGCCTAGAACCGAGTACATTTTTTTTTGTTTATTCTCTACTGCGTTTTGTGCCTCTTCACACAGCATATTACTACGGCATCGAAATTTTTGCTATTCTAACGTTCAACACGTTAAGGCTCAACAGCGTCCTGCGTTTCATTAACTATTGCAAAGCCATCTAACATTTATCACGGACTGCCTTGTAAGGTTATAATGGGACCCTCTACCAGTCGCGCTGAATCGTCTATTATACAGAAACCAGAACGCTTTAGCAGCGGAAGGCTGGTTAATTACAATTAGTTAGTGGGTCAACTGGGCAGCATTTAGTTCTTCTTGGGGAACCGCTGCCGGAACCATGTCCAGGGGCGGAGGGCCCGAGCGTAGGCCAGCCAGTTCTGGGCGAGACCCCACGCGAAACCCTGCCAGAAGGGCATGAGCAGATGCTGCCAACACCGTTCCCACATCTGGCGGGCGGGGGACCATGCGCGGCCCGGTTGCAATGTACGGCCGAGCGGGTGGGCGCGGAGCTGTCGGTAGTTGACGGTGACTTGGGCACGGTGGATCTGGTACAGGGTCGGTGGGGTCCACCGGGGGTGATTGAATTTGCCCGTGGTGGTTCGATCGGTGCTATGGTCAGGGGGACCCAGCGTCGCGGTGGACCAGGCCATGAGGTCGCGTTGTAAGGCATGAAGCGGATGTTCGGCCGTCTTGTCGCGAGGCCCTAGGTGCGTCGGCGGGCCGGCGGAATGGGTGTTAGTGGTGGTGGACCTGACGGGCTGGCCGGTCGAGCCGAATTTGGGTAGGAGGGGCACGTAGTCGTTCTGGGGGCCTCCGGCGGCCGGCGGCGGCCCCGTGGTGAGGGAGGTCATGGGGGGGGATGTAGGATATAGGAATGGCACAAAAGGAGGGGGGGCCAAGTAGGCTGGCCGTTCAAAAGCTTCAGGTGGGTGAGCAGAAGAGGTGCGAAAATGGGTCCAAAGTAAGGCGAATGGGCTCTACGAAGTAAGGGTGTGGGGGGGGGGCCAACGCCGAAGCGGGCAGGGGATAATTAGTAGGTTAGTAGGTTCCGAAGTGATCCCCACTCCCCATCCCCATTGGCGAACCTGAGGAGACATCGACGGGCAACCCTCACGTTATGTTGTGGAGACTGAGAGCGCTGGTTGCGACACCTTGACCCGGCTGCGGCTCCATGGGGCGACGTCATGCAGTCTGTCCTTCAGATTGCGAGGTGAGCGGGGGGTTGGAGGATGTCCCCCCTTCTTGTTTCCGAGTCTTTAGGCAGTCTGTGGACTTCCGCCGCTTTAAACCATAAATACATGGCGTCCAATGAATATGCCCCCCTGCATGCATCGTATATGCAAGCATCATGCACCCAAACGGCCATCTTTAGTATCAGCCGATATGAGGAGAGTGGGACCGGTGCTCCCGTCAGCGATAATGGCCATCACCCAATGGGGCACCGGTGCCCTGGAGAGCGAAGGTGGCCTGGGTCCGTCTATAGGAAGCCATTGATTCTTCGTCCCCCTGTCGGTCGAACTCTTGGCCATCCCCGTCGACCCCTCTCTGGGCCGCTTTCCCCTGCGGAGTCACCGTGGCCGGGGGGTGTACTGCCCAGTCTGTGGGGCAGTTTTCGGGCAGCGCCGGCGCCGTATCCCCGCGGCTGCTCTGATCCGTAAAGCCGGTTCTCGTCCAACATGGCTCGGCCTTAAAGTGTATCAAAGCAGGCACTGGGAGTCTATTGGTGCATGTACGTGGTTTAGCACGACGTTGGAGGGGCTGCATTCCATCACGTTTCTCCCCTATCGTTTGGCCATTAGGCCGTAGCCTCGCTCTGAACAACGGACTGCCCGCTTGGCGAGGCCGGACTGATATCCATTCACCTCCTCGGCCTCGCCTAGGAGCCGGCACCGCCCCTCGTCATTCCGCGGCCCATTACCCCGAAGGCCTTGCCAGTTTCGCCCATGTCCTCTCTGCACACCTTACTATCGTACCTTCCCCAGTGGCGGTTCTCACGGGGAGAGGGTGTTACCTCGGTAGAGCACGACGCCCAGGCGAGAAACACAGGGCTTCCTTTCACCCTATGTCCCCTCTACCTGCCTGCTCTCTCTCTCCTTTTTGTGCGGGAGTAACCCGGCCAACACCCTGGGCCTACACCGACTGCTCCCCCCCTCTCCTCCAGCCGCCACATCCTGACTCTAGGCCTGCTTCCTGTTGCATCTTCGAACGATCGGTTGTACGGTCTGATCCCCCCCGCAAACTCCTCCTTTCCTACCTGCCTCCGGCCCCCTACGACCCACCAACGGCCTTCTACGGCATATATACCAAACCCCCTCTATGCTCATTGCACTCGGCTCGGTGGTTCCGCACACGGATTGGCCCTTGCTAAGTTCACCTATACTCTCCCTAACGTAGCGACCTTCCTTATGACCGCCCACCCGCCCGTACGGCAAAACATGGAATCCGCCATGAGCAATGGCCACGGGCCTGACCATGCTTCAGCCAAAGGCGGTAGCAACGAAAGTAACGACGACGGCTGGACCGATATCTTGCCCCTCCTCGCCTCGGCCGCGCAAGGTAAGCATCCTGTGGGCCAAGTTGTAAATTCCCAGGTTCTGGACCGTCCGGGGCTTGTGTAGTTTAACCAGGCGGAGACGGCCGATAAAGGCAGCACCGAGTCTCAAGGGCCCTGGAAACGAGACAGCCACGAGCACTCCCTGTCGCCCACACATCACTATCGCTCATTTCTCCAGCGCCGCTAACTGTTGGCCCCTTCGCTCTCTGCCACAAACTCCCCACCTTAATTACTTATCCCCCTCCCCCCCAAAAAAAAACTAGAGCTCAAAACCGGGGAGCTGCTGCGGGCCCCTCATTTTGAACTGGTCGACTGCATGAGCGTCCTCGAAATTATGGACCCCAAGATGGACGCTGGTCTGCACTTGGTGCAGCAGAACCCGGCTCCAGAATTCGATCCCGAGGCCCCGCGCACCCCGGCCGAGGTTCTCTGGATCATGGACCAGTTTTCAGTTTGCGAGGTAGGTGCTTGTAAGCCCAGGTGGGTCACTACCCTTGTCCCCCGCGACAGGTTGATTGCTCCTCCCTTGCCCGCCCGTCCGCTGACAGTCCCACACTCCCCCGTGACGACGCTCGCCCTTAAGCTTGTCGACCATACCAACTAAACCTGATCTTGCCACGCTGCCTTCCCCCCCCAACTGCCGTGGGCCTAGATGACCTGGCAGTCCGGCCACTCGGACATTCAAACGCTGCACACCTGCCGTTATCTCCCGCACCTAGTGTACCTCGCGGAAAGCGCGGTCGATCGGTATCGCGACGAACGGTTCTGGACCTTTACCCTCTACACCTACCTCCTGGCGGTGCTCCATGGCGCCCATCTGGTCTGGACCGAAATGCGCAAGGGGCACCTCTATGAAGACGAAGATTTTACCACTGCCACCCACGGCCAGCCTTTCCCGCAACACCTCACCGTCAGCCAGAGCCGACGTCTGTTGGTGGGCGCCATCGAGGGGGTCAAGGCCCGCCTCGCCGCCCTGGCAGCCACACCCGCCCCGGCTCCAAACGGTGCTCCTTCCGGGGCAACCGCGGCCCCGCCCAGGAAGCCGACCGACCGCCGCGTCCTGTTGGCAGTTCTCAACCGGCTCGAGATCCGTCTACTATGGCTTCGCATCCTCCAGCTGCACCCGTACACGCCCGAGGCGTGCGCCAATGTCGAGTGTCTGGTGGATACTTACTTCACACACCGCCGGTCGGATAACCGGGTCGAACGGACCGCCCAGGCTGTGGGGTGCCCTGTGCAGGGGGTCTTCGACCCTAACGCTGGGCTCAAACTTATTGAGCAGACGCCCCCACGGGCTATCCGCCTGCTGACCGTGACGGAGGCCGGTGGAGCCATGGACCAACTGTTGACGGGACTACAGCGACTCCTGCAGATCCGCAATTTTGACTCGAGCATGTCCTTGGTCACTTTTTTGGCTCTGTTTCACGACGGCGCTCGCGCGCCCGCCCCGTTCGTACGCTCCCTCATCATGACGCTGCTGGACGTCCACGGTACCGTGTTTGAGCACCGGTCGCACCACCAGCTCATCGCCGATCGGGTCCGCGAGTTTTGCTGTCCGCCCCGCCAGTTTCTCCCACCCGACGCCGAGACGGCCCCTTGTCTCGCAACCCCGTCCAACCAGGACCGTACGGCGCCCGTCACGCGACCCGATACCCTCGCCACGCAGTTCATCAAACACACCACCGGGGCCTACCTGTCCTACCTCAAGGTGTTCTCGCAGAACCTGGCCCGCCAACGCCGCCTCCAACGCCGGTTGCTGACCGACTGGGATACCATCTACGTTCAAACCTTGGAACTGGAACGTCAGAACGCTGAGATTAACCGCGCCCTCACCCGTGCTACCGACCGCCACATCCCGCAGGAGTATGGCTACTTTTCGGCGTGGGCCATGGACGTCAAATTGACCGTCATGATCCGGTTCGTGCTTAGTGGCGTGGCCCTCGATATTTACAAACCTGGCGAGCTCATCATCATTTACTGGTACGCCGATTACCTCCAGAGTGTCCGAATCTCCCATATCCAGAGCGTCCGTGACAGCATCACCCGAATCGCCGAGGCCTCTGACTACGACGGTAAGTTATCTATGTATTGCTTATATGGCCGCCTGATTTTCTTCTGGATTACCCACTGGATTGGCCGTTAGAGGATATGTTGAAGAATATGTATGGGTTCTAGGGCGGTGGTTTTGGTTGACCAATTACCCTAACCTCTGTACCGACTTGCGGTGTGCTTAACCCTCCTCCCCCGCTTCTATATCCACTTCTTGTCATGGTCCATTGTACTAGGTATCGACCGAGCGGCCTTTGAGCGTACCATCCATCTCCTCCGCTCAATGCGGGGCCGTCTCTGCGTAGAACAGGAGCTGTGCCGTGGTCTGGTCATGGTAAGTTGAATTCCTACGCAACACCTCATCATGGCAT